CAAAAAAAAAAAAAAAATGACATATTACCATCGCAAAACTCTACAGTGACTCTTATGAGGAGGACTGCATCTACGAGGACTTTTCATTTTAAGTTTTTACACGCCACTTCTCATTACCACCAAAGCAAGATAATTAAGTCCTTTGAAGCAAACCCTTTCTGTTTGTTTGGCTAAATGCGAAATATCCTTTAAATTTCGCCAATCAATTCATTATAAACTTCTTTTGACAATTATTTGCGAATCAAGTTTAACAATTGGCATAAACCATCTTAAATTTAATATAAAATTTAGATGGAAAATCGAGTTGGTATGTATAATCAAAGGAATACAATAAAGATGACACGCAAAAGGCAAAAGTGGATTGATCAATTATGCATCAAATTTCAACATCTATAAATATCAACCTTTTGCTATCTTTTTCTTTTTTATATAAATAATATAAAATAGAATTAATAAATACAAAAAGAGGGTACACAAAAGTACAAGGTATTTATACATGTATATAGTATGGTTTGGGATTGCCGGATTGGGGGCATTTTATAACGTGCATGGGGGCATTTGAATCAGAGGCATGTGAGCATGAAATGAAAGCACATGCCCTAGGTAACGTGCATCACTACTGCTTCAGTTCTGCAGCTGTTGGAGATAATATTTTCCAAAAATTCAGATTGGCACAATTGGTTTGCCCTTTGTCTAGGGATCTTCCCATGTTATATGTTTACAACTTGCGCAACCCATTTCTCTTTTGTGACTTTAAAATAAAAACAAATAAAATAACACAATAGAGGTTTTTTTTTTCTTTTTTAACACCTACCAATAAATATATGAATTTGTAGTTTTTACCGTCTGAATTGAGATTGAACTACACAATTAAGACCAAAAGATATGGAATCCGTCCTATTTGATGATTATTATTATGCATACAGGTTGACGCAATTTAAATTATACAAAATTTTTTCCTAATTTTATTAATGGGTTACAAACTCAACGTACCAACCCTAACAATTTTAACTTACATATAAGCCCACTCATACTGAGAAATACAGAAAAAACCAATGCAGATTATGTATTATTAATGAGGTTTTGTATTTTTTTTTTTTCCCAGTATAAGTAGGCTGTTTTTTTCTCTGAGTTGTTACCTTGGGGGATGGGGAAATGCCATAGCGGTGGCTAGAACCTGGCATAGACCAGCCTTTCGGATCATTTCGACCGCACTTTTACCAGACCCTCTAACACTGTAAGTGCAAATAATGATCAATGTGCAGATCAGCCAACCAATTGCCTTGAATGTAATGTTTGGACAAGGTCTTTTTGTTGTTAAGTTTTTATATTTAATAGTTTCAAAAATTTTAAAATTTATAATAATAGTATATTGTATGAATTTATGACTCAACACTTTTGCAAAACAAATATATTCAAACAAAATTTTTATAAAAGTTATCATTAAACTAAAAAGAAAAATGTTTATCAGTTGTATTTGTAAAAAATTAAATAAAAAAATATTTTAAAATTATTTTATTTTAATAATTTTTTTATTAAAAACTAAAATATCTTAAATTTTAATTTTAGAATAAGAATGTTTTAGTATTTTTAAAGGTAATTTAATAAAAAAAAAAAATTTAAAAAAATTTTTTTATTTAATTTCTTTTATAAATTCAGTTGATAAACACTAATATTTAAACTAAATATACTTTAAATCAACTATAGTCTACTTATTGCTTGACATAGAAAAAACTTGTTAACAAGTTTGAACAAGTACGAATCCCTTGACTTCTTAACCTCACTGACACACATCAAACCAAAAACTAAGTAACAAAATACTTGTTATATATAATAAAGGCTCATGTGCAATTCAATTAAACGCCTTAAAAGGGGCACCTGAAAGCTAAAAGTCGACATTAACTTTCTTCAAAGAGAAGCATATGTAGAAGCATATTATATATACCTTTATGACAGGGAGCACAACCCAAATGCGTTTGTAAAGAAACAACTCAAATTATGAGAGAAAATACCTGCCCTCGATAGACTGCAATACTGTCTAATGTTTGATGGCATGTAATTAAGTGATCAACAATATTCAATCCAGGTAATGTGTACGACGCTAGGGCGGCTCCCTTCATTGTAAAATTAAAGGATTTAAAATTTTCTCTTTTTTTTTTTTTGGCCGAAAAAGCATTTGAAATTTTCCATCTCACTTTTTTGTCTTGTGGTTTGCACCTAATGGTGTCGGTTTGAGTTTGGTCAGCACACCCTCTGTCGGTTCTGATTTTTTAAGACTGAAAATTTTGTTATAAATCTCAGAGTGTTTACATGGCCTGATTGCATCAAATAAGCAAATGTATATTGATTCATATGTCATATTTGAATTAAAAAAATCATTAAAAATTATATATCACATTAGATTATAAGATTTTATTGTAACTAACTATTGTAAATTAATAATTTTTCCCTCTTCGGCCAAAAAAAAAAAATTCCCTCTCTTTACTTTCTAAGAGAAAAGAGATGAAAGTTTTTTTTTGGTAATATTTACTCTATTGCAAAATAATTGTTTTTGTTTTTTGACTCAAAATTTATCTTAAATTAATTATTATTTTTTTATTTTTTAAGGGGTTAGGAAATATTTTTTTGCTACTTTAACCTATCCTTATGGCTTGCCTTTAACTATTGATCACCCTATCACCAATATTTTTTCTTCATATTAACTTTTATTCACTTGTTTAGTTTGAAGGGAGAGGAGTGAAGGGGAAGAACATTTTCTATTTAGATAACAAAAATTTGAGTGGAAGGAAGGGAGGGGAGAGAGATAGATTTTCCTGTTTAGATAACAAATATTGGAGGGCAAAAAAGGGGAGGGGGGAGGAAAGAGTTTTCCTTTATTTTCTTTTATAACTTTAGCATAATTAAATGATGGGATGGAAGTGAAGTAAAATAAAATGATATTATCTCTCCTCCCCTTCGTTTTACTTAAACTAAACAAGGGTAAAAATAATATAAATAAATATATAGGTTGTTCTTAAATTCTTAATATGTGAAAAAGAAGAAGAAGATAGTTTTGTTGAAACTGAAAGAGTATAAAATAAAAGATTTGACTACTAACTAAAGCTGGCTTTTAAAAGGATTTTTAATTTTTTTTAAGCAGCAAGAAGTTCATGCTTTTTAAAAGAATTTGGTAACTTAGGTTCAGTTACATTGAATAACTTTTATTGAAATTATAATTGGCAAAGTCACCCTCTTTAATTAAAAACCATTTGGGGGCCTTCCCCTTCAGGTGGTTAAGAAGACAATGAGTCCACTACTCAGTTAAGTTTGTGTTGAAAAATTGAAGTGGGTAGCTTTTGCTCATCGGGCAAATGCCATAAAATAAATGTAAACAAACCTCCAAAACACATTGACACCCATTTTTAGCCCATCACAAGAGATATTTAAGTTGTCCATGGCTATTTCCACATTTTGGTCAAATTAATTATAGGGTAATAATCAGATTGCAGCTTGACATAGGCAAGGAGAGGGAAGAGAACATGGAGGTGTCTATTTGTTTATGTTGGGACTTTAATAGATATATAAGATAGTACAAAATTCAAACTACGAATAATAAATTTCGAATTCAAGTCTATCCTTTCTAAGGTTGTGAGTACCCAACATTACTCTCTGCCCTAGTAATACGTACCTCTATATTCAAGTCATCGTGCTTCATCCAGTCTCCGTGCTCTATTGCCAATAATGAATCTCCCAATGATCATATGAATATCAAGGAGCCCGTTACTGTCCCTTTTCCCTTTTGAAGAGATGCGTTTGTGATTGTTATAAAATATTGTTATTGTAATTGTGAGTTTTCAATTAATTTACTATCACAAAAATTATATTATTATTTAATAATTATTTGAAAAATATCATATATCAATACAATTATAAAAAATATCAATTAAAATTAATTTATTAATTTGATAAATCGACACTTTTAATGAGGTATTATGCAAAAGAAAAAAAAAAGTATTATGAGATTGTACCAAACGTAAATCATCAGGAGAATATTTATAAGTATTTGCTTTACATTTTTGTAAATAATGGTTCTCACTTCAAAGGGCACTAGGATACTGCCATATTGTAAAAAAGTTTGATACTTAGACATTTGGTGATGGCAAATGATTTAGATACAATGTTTTTTAATTACAATGTTTTGTACAATGTGGTGTGATATGGATGGAGTAGTTGACCATATATATATATTTTTTGAACAGTGGGAAATTTGGAGAGTGGGGAAGACAGGTGCACTTTACCTCTTGCTTGCAAAAATATCAAAAATAATGGATTTTTTTAATACATTAACTAATGGATTATATAATAAAAATAATTTTATTATTATTTTAATTTATTCTCACCCATCTTAAAATTTAAATTTAAGATTTTTAACTTAAAAATTAAAGTCTTAACAACTTCAAACATCCATTGGACGTAAAAGAAATAGCAGCAAAAAAGTATCGCCAATTGAATAACACCAAAGGGAAGTGATTCATGCACCCACCAGTCAACACCCAGTGGGTTACCCCTTTTTAAAATATATATTTTTAGTCTACTTAAGAGTAAGTGTTGAATAACTTATCCTTCACTACTAGAAAAAGGCCCTATTTCGGTCAAGACCAATGATCGAATAGGGCCATATTTTGACTGAACAAAGTGTATTTCGGTCAAATTCAATGACCAAATTGTTGGTCTGAATAGGCTCTGTAGGAAATAAAATTTCGGAGAGAAATTCATCTTGATCGAAATTCAATACTATTTTGGTCAAGAGTCTTGACCGAAACTTTGGCTGAGAAATCAATAAAAAAATTATTTATTCGGAGAAATATAATGATCGAAATATTTAATTATTTTTTAATTCAATACTATTTCGGTCAAGGCTCTTGACCGAAACATTGAGTGAGAAATTAATTAAAAAAAATCATATATTCGGATAAATACAATGACCGAAATATTTAATTAATTTTTAATTCAATATTATTTTGGTCAAAATGACTGACCGAAATAATAAAGTAGAATGCAAAAAAAATTATTAATCAATTTTAATTTAAATGGTAAAAATTATAATAAAATTTGGTATTAAAAAAATTGATTTTAGCATCATCAATTATATACAATCATTATTTATTTAATTTAGTGACCTTTTGTATATAGTTTTTAATTATTATTATACATATTTACTAATAATTACAATTAAATATATAGACATGTACAAAAAAATGAAAAGAACACAAAAAAATTAACATTTGTCAAAAGGAGTCCAACATAATTACAAGCAAGAATAAGTCAAATTGACAAAAACATATAAATTAAAGTATGCAAATAAATTAACTAAATATATAAAAAATAAAGATTTAAGGAAAAGTATTAAATGAAAATGGAAAATTACCTCCAAAATGTTGTCCCATTGTTCACCACCTTAAAAAACCTTGAAAATAAAAAATTAAATCATTAGTATACAATTAAAACAACCAACAATATAATAAACATAAAAAATAAAAATAATTTTACATAATAAAACAATTGAAAAAATGAAAATAAAACAGATGGTAAAGAAGGAATTAACATTGGTTTTGATATGCAAAGATATGTATAAAACTTAAAGAGAAATAAAAATTGTGATGAACAACAAAAATAAAAAGAAAAGATGAAGATATGAAGAAGTAATTAATGATAATTTGCAATGAATTATTGAAAGTTAGAAGAATAAGAGGTAAAGAAAAGACTTGAAGTTGGAGAGGAAGAAAGAAAACGAAAGAGAGATAGTAGAAGTTGGAGAAGTGAATAGAATAGTCTGGGTTGATGTATATATAAGCTGAATATTATTTCGGTCAGTGATAATAAAGAGGTGAAACATTCAAACACTTTCGGCGGAAAATTTTGGGGGGAAGCAAGAGTAGAAGATTAATTCGGTCATTAATTATGACCGAATTAATTCTACCAAAAAATTGAAAAGCTGAAGCTCCATCAAATCAACCCACATTTTGCACTATTTCGGTCATATTTACTGACCGAAATAGAGGCAAAAATTTCAAAGGCTGAACCTTCCTGCAGACTCCACAGGCCAATTATCTATGAATAAACTGTGCATATATTTCGGTCAGTCTTACTGACCGAAATAGGAGAAAGAAAATCAGCCCGTGATACTTGCACGAGTTCGGTCAGTTTTACTGACCGAAATAGTGGGAAAAAAATATATTAAAGGCTCAAGCTTCGTGCAAACTCTATCAGGCCGCAGGGTTATGATATTTGTGCATCTATTTCGGTCATTTTTACTGACCGAAAAAAGAGAGAAAAAAAAAAATCGGCTTTATTCATCATCAATCAAATCAAAACCAGAATTAGGGTTCGGTCATTATTATTGACCGAAATAGACCGGGTCAGATTATATTAATCATTTTGATAGCGAAGTTTTTTTTTTTTTTTCTTTTGTATTTTTTCAATCAGTATTACCAACTGAATATGAGGTTTGAGGAACTCCCCCCATTAGTTCGGTTGAAATGATTAACCGAAATAATATTTGACCAAATTAGTCGTCAAAGATGATATAAAACGGACAATTTTATGTTCCGGTTAGCTAAAATTTTCGAAATGAGGCTTATTTCGGTCAAGATTTTTGGTTGACCGAAATAGTATGTCCGAAAAAGAGGTATTTTTTATTAGTGTTGTAGCCAACCATATTCTATTTTTTATTCCAAACACACAACAACTCCATCACTTCTCCCTTCTTCGATTCTTCATTGTTTCCATGTCTTTTCCAGCATTGACGCCAACAACAACACCATCACCACCATTGGCCACTGCTTTTCCTCACTTCTTCCTCCTTTCTTTCTCTTCCTCCCTTCTCCTTCCTTTCTTTCTCTTCCTCCATTCTCATTCGTTCTCGTTCTTTTTCTTCCTACCACTCCATCTATTCCCCTTGCTTCTCCATAGCAAAGAATCCAAAAAATTTGGGTACCCATCACCCACTAGTAATCATTGATTTCATCCCATTTAGATCTGGCTTTTTTTTTTTCTTTTTTATCAAATCTAAAATTTTTTTTTTTTGCTCCAGTCAACACCTAGATCTAAACTCTTGGATCCCAGAAACACCAAACTACCGAATCCCTCTCCCTCCCATGGAATCCCCCTTGTTTTCCCATCACTGCACCCTCTTTCCTTTGAAGCAGCACTGAAACTAGCACCACCATTTCAATTTCTTCCCCCACAAAGATCCACATTACTGGAATGTTGAGATAAAGGGATTTAAGATTCACTAACCTAGAGAGATGAAGGATTTATTATGCAATTGAAAAGAGGAGAAGTAGTCTTGAATTTTATGGGTTTCAAATGATTTTTTTTTTCCATCTTTCTGCTTGTACTTGCTATGTTCTTCTAATGCTTGGTTGAATTCCTCTCGTATTCTACAAATTGGCAAAATCAAGCTAGATCTCCGACTAAGATTTGAAAAAAAAAGTCATGGATTTTTCTCATTTTTGTTCTTGTGTTAGAGATGAGATAGATCTGGGAAAGAGAAGGGATTTCTGACTATTTGTTAAATTTAACCCTTACATTTATGAAGAATAAGAAAATTATCCCTTCCGTGCCTAGAAAAACCCCAAATAATTAACTTTAATCTCTTAATTTTAACTTTAATAAAAAGAAAATTGGAGAAGATGAACAGTACCTCTCCATTAACTATGCTAGCATAGTAGGAGGAATGGAAAAGAGGATGAGACTAGGAAGATGACTAGCAAAAGAAGTAGACCAACCACGAGAAAGAAGATAAGAGCATTTACTGCATTTGAGAAAATAGATTTTCAACTATTTAGAATAAGTTAAGATAAGTATATATCCAAGTAAAATATTATTTTTTCCATTTGAAATGCTTGTGTG